GGGGGGGGGGGGGGGGCGGCGCACAGCTGCGTCCTGCGCTGTGCAGCAAGGGCGCTGTGCTATGCTGCGCTGTCCTGTGCTGTGCTGTGCTGCTCTGCTCTGCTCTGCTCTGCGCTTCGCTGTGCTGTGCTGTGCTGTGCTGTGCTGTGCTGTGCTGCGCCGCGCCGCGCTGTGTTGTGCTGTGCTGCGCCGCGCTGCGCTGCGCTGTGCTGTGCTGTGCTGTGCTGTGCTGTGCTGTGCTGTGCTGTGCTGTGCTGTGCTGCGCGAACCTGCCCTGCGCTGTGCTGCGCGAACCTGCCCTGCGCTGTGCTGTGCTGTGCTGTGCTGTGCTGCGCGAACCTGCCCTGCGCTGTGCTGCGCGAACCTGCCCTGCGCTGTGCTGCACTGCGCTGCGCCGTGCTGCGCTGCAGGCGCTTGGTGCTTAGGGCCTCTGCGGGCGACGTCCTGTTCTACGTCTTGTTGAGGGTGGTTGATAATCTGCACCAGTGGCAATGCTTGGTTGCAACCCACAAATCCAGCCTACCCCAGCCCAGCCACACATAGACACCACGCGCGCACGCACACACACACACACACACACACACACGCACACACAAACACACTGACACCAGAAACAGGGCGCCCACAACCCTCCTGCCTCGCCGTCCCACGCACCCCGCAGCGCCCCGACCTGAGCTCCGAGCAGTCCAAGGTTCTGTCCATAATGGCGCGCACCCTCAGCTGCTACATTACGGAGGACCCGCGCGCGGCACAGCTCAAGGAGGAGCTCAACAGGTGTGATCTAGTGTGGTCAGATTGCACGATCTGGTGCGATTTGGTGGGATTTGGTGTGATGTGGCCGAGGCCGCTGATGATGCGCCTGCAGGCGTTGGTGAACCAAAAGGGGTCGGGGATCTTGGGCTGAGCTGCGCTCCAGGCTGGCCTGCTGACCTGCTGATTGGAGAGAAGTCTTGACAACAGCAGAACCAGTGTGTGCTCGTTTCGCTGTGGTTGACTCACGTGCCTTTTTTGAGTCCGAGAACTCAAAACGGCAGGCGGGGGGCTCCTCCAGTGTCTCCAGTGAGATCCCCGCCCGCCCCCACATGTCAATGCAGCCGCCCGCGCTCTGCCGCGTTCACACCCCCAGGCTGGAGGCCGAGCTGGCCCAGGAGCGCAACAAGATGGCGCTGGGCATCAAGGACCCCGCCACTGGGGAGTTCAAGGCCTGCAGCAGCGTGCAGGTGTGTTTCCTTGGCGGGCAAGGGTGTCAGGAGGGATGAGCAGAGTAGAGAGCTGTAAATGTGCGAGTCCGCATGCGTGTTTGTGCGCACGCTTGTGCGTGAGGGGGCCGCAGATCGTTCGCCGTGCCATCACCATGTATGCAAATGCTTCACTAGACCGCTCCCATTGTCGCCTGCATGCCTCCCGTCCCTCACGTCCCTCACAACAAATGCACATCAACCCACCCCAACCCCTCTCCCGCCCCGCGCGCCCCCAAAACACCACCCTTCCCCCCAAAGCTCCGCAACATGATGCGCGTCGACGACGCCGAGCCCTCCCGCCGCGCGGCCTTTGACGCGCTGCGCTCCATCGGCCCCTTTGTGGCTGCGCGCTTCTGTGCGATCGTCAAAGCCCGCAACGAGCTCGCGCGGCTGAGCGGCTACGAGGACTTTTACGACATGAAGGTACGGGATCCGCGCGTTGTGACATGACGGCGCGGGGCCGATCTTCGCAACATGAAAGCACAGGGGCGGTCTCTTGTGGGGCGTAGACCGCCGGGGCGTTTTCCGGGGATGACGTTGGTGGGGCGCCTTGTGCGGAGCGTGGTTGGCAGGCTTGATGTTTTGAGCTGGTTCTCCAGAGCACGATGGGTCGGGCCCTCCTCGCGTCCCCTTGCATGGTCTGTGCCCCGTGTGGAGTCATCGGTGTACATGCATCCTCGAGCGCATGAGACCCACGCAAATGCGGGATCGGCCACAGGAGTGCGCGAGCACCTGTGGTGTCTCTTGAAACGTCACTCCGCCAGAACCCCTAGCTCGTCACTTGGCCTGCGCGAGGCACCCACTGGCGGCGCCGCCGGACCATGCGCGGCGCATGAGGATGGACGCTTTTCTGAAATGTCTTTCCGGTGTTGCCCGTTTCGAATTACGTGCTCTGCCTTGGACAAATCACGGCCCCCGCAGGTGACCGCGGCCGAGGGCTTCGGCAAGAAGCGGCTGTTTGAGATCCTGGATGATCTGGAGGGCAAGACGCGGCCCATAAACCAGGAGGCCAGGGAGCGGCTGGCGGCGGAGAAGGGGGCGGAGGCGCTGGAGGCGCACAACATCTCCCACTCTCTGGCAGGTGCGTTCGGTGCACACACGTTGGGGTTTCTCGTGCTGGTGGGGTCGCGCTTTAGGGGGTGGGGTTTCGCGGCCATTGCGCTCCAAAGTGCAGCCCTGCTGGTTTGCAAAGGGGTATCGGGGCAAAGCGGTTGCTGGAGATGGGTGCGGGTGATGTGGCCAGGGGAAAGGGTGGTTTGCTGGTGCTGGATGCGGGCCCGTGATCTGGGGTGGCGCGGGGCCGAGGCTTGCGTGGGCTTGCAAAAACCTGGACTCCTGCATTGCATGCGTTGCCTTGTGCGGCCCCGGCGAGTGTGGCAGCGTTGGACCCTGATCCCTGGTTGCGCGCAGCAAGAGGGCCACTGAGCTGCAACTAATTGCAAACAGTCCAATTTCTCATTCAAGCCGTTGCACATTTGGGGGTACTCACATCCCTTCACGGATGGCGCGCTCAACGCACACGCACTTGCCACGCGTGAAGACACACGCGCACACATGCATGCGCACAGGCGATACGCTCACATGCACGCCTCTCTTCAAAACAAAACACAGCGCATTCGCAAATGCACAAGCACCCGCGCACACCAGCTGACCCCTCTCCCTCTCAACCACAGGCGACACCACCAAGCTGACCGACCCCTACTTCCCCTTTGAGGATGCGGTCGACGTGTGGGTGGGTGACATCATCATGGGTCCGGATGACATCATACTGCAGACCTGAGGCGATAATGAGCTTGTTTTGTGATTGATACCAAAGAGGATCATCATGAGAAGGGGGGTTCGCTGTTGCGTAGTCTTCCCCTGCTCTGCTTTTGCGAAACGTGGGACTTCAATGGATTGGTGGCAGCAGCTATGGAGGGATGTTTTTGCGGAGCCCAGGGGAATGATGGCCCTTGTGCGCGTGCACGCCACCTTTTGCTCCACAACAATGTCACTCCTACCCCACCCCCTCAGGGCCGCACCTTTGCCGCGCTGGGCATCAACTACCAGGGATCAGTCATGACGCTGGTGAGAGCATCAATTAGCTGTGCCCTGCGCGCCGCCATGCCCTCGTGTCCCGCGCTTTCCGACAGCCGGCCGCGTGCCTCGGCCGCCATTGCCTCCACTTTCGCGCGCATCATTAATCATTTACACCAAGCCCCCCCCCATCTTTGTCCCGCATTCCCCATGCTCAACCCCATCCACCCCATGCACTTCGCGTGACATCCACCCCTCACTCAGTCGACCACAAACTCCATAGTATCCCTCTCCCCCACCACATCATGTGATCATCACATGATGTCATCATGTCATCAAGCTGTCGTCCCATCAACCCATCACACCAGCATCTCACAAACCTATCACTTCACACGAACCTATCAATTCACACAAACCTGCCACCCCACCATCCCATCACCCCATCACCCAATCACCCAATCACCCCATCACCCCGTCATACCCCAGGACCTGTGTGATCGCAGTGGAAAGTACTCCAACGGGTTCTGCCAGTGAGAGACGGGCAACGCTCTAAGGGGATTGCGGGGAGGGGGGATGTGGGGGAGAGGGGATGGGTAATGAGGTGCTGCAGGAGCCGCCAGCGGCTGGCCGCACATCACGCGTTCTTGTGGCGCAGAGGCGGCACGCAGGGCCGCGCCCGGCAACAAGGGGCGCCTGGCAGCTCCCGTTGACGCCAGACGGCAAACCAATGGAGCAACGGATGGCGAGTGGGCGAGCGCCATGCTCATGCACATTCATTACCTGAGCTGATGCTAGTCCGCGCCTCACCCCCCCGCCTCGGCTCTACACCCTTCTTCTTTGTTCTGCGCCTGTCTGCAGCTGGCCGCAGGTACGCCCCTCGCTCGAAGCGCGTGCATGTGCACGCGGCTCTCGCTGCCCTGCCCTGCCCTGCCCTGCCCTGCCC